TGTTAGAAATTATTTCGATGACTCCCAATTCACGCCAAGAAATTCAGCACTCCAGATGCTTCGGTTGCGGAGTTATGTCAGATTTAACGTGTTCGTAAGTGAGTGGCAACGCGAGTGCCTTCGCGTGCGACTGTTCAAACGTGGTCTCAGGTAGCGCTCAGGAAGTTTCAGCGCTCTAGCTGTTTTATTCGCCAAGTTACACCAAAATTCACGTGTTCGTACATGAGTGGCAACGTGATTGCTTTCTTTGCGTGCGACTGCTCAAGCACGGTCCTGGGCAACGCTCAGAAATTTCAGCGCTCTAGCTGTTTTGACTGCAAAGTCACATCAAATTTCACGTGTGTAAATGAGACGTGAAAGTGATGTGCAATTCTTTTTTGCGTCCATCTGATCAAAAGCTACCATCGGTTATGCTCAAAAGCTACTTCAATCTTGAAGTTACAAAAGTGCATGCGTGAAATTTCGCGTGTTTGCACTTGGGATGCAGAAGAGCTGGAAAACTCAATTTATTTTCACGGACGCAGCAGTTAGCGACAAGTACCGCTGCAAAGTTGCAGCTCTCTACAACTTGGCCAGGTTAAGTCTGGAGTTGGCATGATGCCAGTTTACTGACGTATGCGTACGTGAGACCTTTGGATGCGTGAAGGCCGAGTTTGAAATCTTTAGATTAGACGCGAACAAGGAATATCTCTGTGAATTTCCAGCCTATTAGGTTGCGCCGTTACCGGAAACGTTTTCCCCCCAAAAAAACTTTCACGTTCCCATGCGTGGGAACCACGTGGGATTGGGCGTTCATTTCGAGCCCGCACGTATGATTAAGTTACCAGAGTTTGAGCCTTGCACCTTTTCTAGATCTCGAGATGAAAACTCGTTACAGGCGCACACATATACATACATACATACATGCACAAAGACATACACACACAGAGAGGCAGACAACCCCTCGAGAATATGCTTTTTTGCATTGCATAGATACAAAAAACGCAAAAAAAGCAATTGTCCACTGGCTATGATTCTCGATGGTCTCCTGCTCCATGGGATAAACAGAAGCTAGGGCGCAAAACGAATGGGATTCGGACTGGTTGCTTCACTGGTCGAGCCTAACCAAAACCACAAGCAATCTGAATACTGATTCCACATATGTATTACAGGCATGACACACTGGGTTACCACTGCCGTTGCGCAGCTAGTCGAAGATTCGACTCCGCCACTGGAATAACCCTCTATGACTCGTTCATTCGCTTTGATGGTAAAATTAGTACCAGCGTATGTCACGAAATCAAACTCGAAGTCAATCTATCTGCGAAAAAGCGAGCCATCGACAGCCTTGCTAGCGATGGTCGCTGCTGACATTAAATACTTCTCGCGTGCTTCCGCCCCTCACTAAGACGAATAAAGGAAGGGCTTTTTTTGTCTTTTTGAAATGAATACAGTGAAGTGACGAGCAAATGATCCCCATTCAACACTAGTTAAGTCAGTGTCAATCAAGTGTTAAATTATGAAATATGTGAAAATTA